ATTTTGATTTTAATCGATATCAAACAAGACTTATAATAGAATAAAAAAAGAAAAAAAAAAGTAACATCAAGATTTGGAGGGTCACTTGACCCTGGATGACCCCTCCTTGGGTTCGTCATTGCATATACATGTAGAAGCTGACATAGCATGTGACCGCGTGGTTAAGAACCTCTGAAACTGCTCAGTTAAATCAGTTAACATGGGATTGGAGGATAGTTTCTTAAAGTGATCCCAAATTTCCTTTGTTGTTTCAAACTTCACCAACTGTGGAACAATGACTGCCCAACAAAGTTATGAATCCAAATAAAAATTTTCGAATTGTTAACCTCCCAATTATCTAACTCTATCATATAATTATCAGCGGTATTCTTGGGTTTCACGACAGTTCGACTAACATAATTCCACGATCTTTTCCTTTTAGAAAAATCTTCATCACGACACTCTAATATGTGTAATTTTTACCATTTAATCAGACACTAAGGGATTGAAGTTAGCCATCCTTTTCAGTTGCCATCATAGAATCAACAAATAATCAACTACGAAGTAAATAAATCACTCATTTCTTATAAAATCAACGTACCGCCACAAACTACAATCGGAATATACTGTATAGTGCACATACAACCAAACTAATACTACTAAACGATCGAAAACTAACCAAGGAACAAACTGTCTCTTTGAATCTACCCCAGAAAATGTGTTACGTGCTTACACAAGCCACATTTTCTTTTGTCAACGTTGTTCACTCATCGTTGGAGTATCGCACGTTACCGTACACATGCCGATAAGAGATGATTATCTTGTCACAGCGAACCCAAACATGATTCCCATCTTCGTACAAATGTTAGGTTTAAGAGATATTGTGTATTTTCAGTAGCGGCTAAACACAAAATTGGTTTTTGATTATTTCCAATTTCACGAATTGTTTGAGAACGAATGGAATGAAAGGATCGAATTCAACGCACAAATTTCAGCTTTGATACCATGAAAGCAATGTAAACTAATTTGATAGATTAACTAAAGAAGAACAACTAAGAGAAGAAGATAATCAATTCTTAAGCCACTAAAGATTAGATTTCTAATGAAATACATATGTTTATATTCTACGAGAAGAGCAAACAAAACCTGCAAAGGAAGGAAACTAATAATATTATACCTAAATAAAATATCATGCTTACAATGCTATATAAGGCGTTAATGTGTGATTAAAAAAATAGGAAAATGTTTAAAATTTACGTACGATATATTTATCCTGAAAATGTATGATTAAAAACGAGTTTCTAAAAAAATTTGAAATGGTGGACAAACCGGCCTTAACTATAATTTTTTTTAAAAATTTTTTTTTACTATAAATAATATTTTTAGCAAAATCGAAGAGGAAAAATATGAAATCCTATTTTTTGAAGTTTAAAAAGAAAGATAGTTTTACAGCGACGTATGAAAAAATAAATAAATAAATAATGCAGCAATATGCGTTATCTTTTCTTTCACTTTTCATTTATCATTTTTTAATGAGAATTTCACAATGTTTTAAAAACTGACTTGGGCATTGACCCGAAAAAGGAAGAGGGTCGAGGTTTAAAAGGTCGAACCGGTATCGAACCGATGGCAAATTAAATAAATAAATACACAAATAAACAATAAAATATCATAACTATAATAGATTTTTAAATTTTAGTTTTCTCATTAAAAGTAAATATAACCCATTTTTCTTAATTAGATTTATTAAAGTAATTTATTTTATAACCTCAAAAACTAACAATTAATATGTTCACAATAATTTGCTTTGTTCAAAATTGAAAATTATAATCTTGTTGGGTTTTATGATTTCTAACTTCTAATAACAAGGGGAAAGAAGGTCTACTATTGATACAATAGTAAATTAATTCAATTTTATTATTCATGATGTCATTTTTTATTTTTCATTATGTTTATGTCAAACAAATATTCTTCCACATTCATGTCACTAGTATTAAAAAATAATAATAATTTTAGTAAATATAAACTGCCATGAGAAAAAAAAAAACTCTTCGCACATTGTGCGTGAGCTTTTAAAAAAATAATAATAAACTCTTCGCACAGTGCGGAGAGATGGCAAAACATGTGCGGAGAGTTGAGAAACTCTCCGTATAGTGCAAAGTAAAAAAAAAAAAAAAACTCTCTGCAAAGTGACTGTCACGTGCGTTGTACGAATTTTGTATTTATCGTATTTTTATCAGTGTATGCATTTTAGTTTTTTGGAAAGCTTTTGAAGCAATATTTAGAAATATTTCCATGATATAAGAAAATAATTGCAAATTATTTTTACAATTGCATAACAGTATTGTGTTATCTAAAAAAAATATACTTGTATATTTCATACTTGAATAAGAAATATATGAGATTATACAAATTATTTTACTTGTATTCTTTGATAGTATTGATATAATTGAGTTAATATATGAAGATTATATTTCTAAATTTTGTGTAAGTCAATATTGAAAAATTGAAGATTGAGCACCATATTCATATACATTTATATTAGGTGCTTCATACATATATAATATTTATTTTATGTTTATGTTGAAAAAAAAAACTCTTCGCACACATGAGCTTTAAAAAAAATAAAAATAAACTCTCCGCACAGTGTGGAAAGATGACAAATTATGTGTGGAGTAAAAAATGAAGAAAAACTCTTTCTATAGTGCAGAGAGTTGGCAAACTCTCCGTATAGTGCGAAATAAAAAAAATATCCGCACAGTGACTGTCACGTGCGTTGTACGAATTTTGTATTTATCCTATTTTTATTAGTGTATGAATTTTAATTTTTTGGAAAGTTTTTGAAGCAATATCTAGAAATATTTTCATGATATAAGAAAATAATTGTAAATTATTTTTACAATTGTATAATAGTATCGTGTCATCTAGAAAAAATATACTTGTATATTTTATATTTGAATAAGAAATATACGAGATTATACAAATTATTTTGCTTGTATTATTTGATAGTGTTGATATGATTGAGTTGAATGTGAAAATTATATTTCTAAATTTTGTGTAATTCAATATTGAAAAATTGAAAACTGAGCACCATATTTATATGCATTTATATTTTGTGCTTCATATATATTTAATGTTTATTTTATACTTATGTTGAAAAAATAAAAATCTGGAAATTTTTTTGAAATTCGGTTTGGTAAGTGAATGTACGGTGTTCTGCATTATTGGTATTTGTAAGTGCAAAAATCGGTATATAAAAATACAGTAAGCTGCGAATACTGTAGGCAGCATATACGATAAGTTGCAAATACTAGCATATACGGAAGCTGTAAATACGGTAAGGTGAAAATAAAGTAAATTGTTTGCAAATACGATAGGCTGCAAACACGGTAAGTTGCAAACACGGTAGACAACAAATACGGTAAGTTGTTTGCAAATACGATATGCTGCAAATACGTAAGCTGCAAATACAGTAGGCAGCATATACGGTAAGCTTGTCTTCAAATACGATAAGCTGCATATATGAATTTATAATTTGTTATAAATGTATAAAATTTATTTAATATTGAATTTCTTAAGTATTAAATGTTGTAATTCAATATTGTTTCCTTTTTTATAATTGTATTTTCAAGAATTAAAAAAAATAGTTATGAAATTGCTAATTTTTAAATGTATTTTTTTGTTGAAAATAAAAATGATTTTTTTATGTTATTTGTAAAAAAAAAAATTATTGTAATTTTATTAGCGTAATAAAAATATTTATTATGCATTTTTATTTTTTACATTTTTTGAAAAATTTTGTTTATGATAATTGACAAATATTCTTCCACACACACATCATAACAACAACATTAAAAAAAAAAAAAATTTAGTATATATAAACTCCATGAGTTGGTTTGTCATCTTTCTACACTGTGCGAAGAGTTTGTCAACTCTGCGCACATGGTTCAACTCTCTTCGCGCTATGCGAAGAGGTTTTTTTCTCTCCCCACATTTTTTTATTTTTTATTTTTACTTCGTACTTGGTTCAATTCTTTCTGCACTGTGCTGAGAGTTTTTTTTTTTAATTTTACAATATTGAATTACACAAAATTTAGAAATATAATATTTACATTCAATCCAATCATATAACACTATCAAAGAATACAAACAAAATAGTTTGTATATTTCTTGTTTAAGCATGAAATATACAAGCATATTTTTTCTAGATAACATACTGCTATGCAATTGTAAAAATAATTTGCAATTATTTTCTTATATCATGGAAATATTTTTAGATATTGTTTCAAAAACTTTCCGAAAAAACTAAAATTCATATACTACTAAAAATACGCTAAATACAAAATTCATGCAACACACATGATAGCGACTAGTGTTAATAAAAATGATGAAGTAAATTAGTAAACATTTAGAAATGACAATTGGCTAGTATCCCACATTGGAAGACGACAACAACATTAGAAGAAGAGTCTCCTTTAAAAAGGGGCTAGTATCCCATATTAAAAGATTACTAAAATATTGAAAGAATGTTCTCCTTTAAAAAGGAGGTATATGAGAGTCACTTGTATAAAGAAAGTTACTTGGGCCTTCAATTGCAATGGGTGGCCCATTAAGGTAGTTAAAAGGTTTTTTTAAAATAATAATAATAATAAATCACTCGGGAAAAATCGTGGCCGGTTTTTCGGTTCACAGTTAAACCCGGAAAATCGGCCTAATTGACGGATTACTAGCCGGGTTTCATTTTTCGGTTAATGAATGAGAACCGGACCAGATTAAAGGCCGGTTCATGGTTTTCTTATTTAAATGAAATTTAAGGGGGTAACAAAAAAAAAAAGAAAGAAAGTTTAAATTTTTACATATATATAAAACAGTAACATAGAATAAAATAGGCACATATTTTTTAAATATATTATGGAATAAAATAGGTCTACAGGGGCTCTTTAAAAAAATTAAAAAATAACAAAAATAAAAATAAAAATAAAAAGAGGAGGATAATGAATACCATGTCACCAAAAGCAAAGGTCCAGGTTGTAACACAATGCAACAAACTAATCCACTCTACCTGCCCCAAACTTCAGTTTCCATCTCCTTCACACGGCAATCTTCCATGAACTAAATTAAGCCATGAGCTTCATCTTCTCAAACTCCACAACCATTTTTCGATCTCAAACCACCGCTGCACACAAAAATGAACTACACAATCACCGTTCATTTCCAAGAATCCAGGCAACCACATCTGATCAAGAAAATCGGACCCAACGACGAAGTTTTTTGTCGTCATTTCTAGCCACTTCGGTGGCTCTAGGCCTCCATGCCACCCCGTTGGCACTAGCCGAGAATTGGGGTACCCGGTCGTTTCTCCGGGAGAGGTTCTTCGAGCCTGGATTGTCGCCGGAAGATTCGGTGGCAAGAATTCGACAGACTGCCGAAGGACTTCATAGCATTAGGGGCATGCTGGAAACCATGTCATGGAGGTATGTTTTGTATTACATACGTTTAAAGCAAGCTTATCTTTCACAGGATATGAAAACTGCCATGACAATGGTGCCTCAAAGCCGACGAAATTCCTATGTTCAGACTGCTAATGATTTGGTCGATAACATGGCCGAGGTTAGTTGCTCGTATAAGCTTGTAATTGACTTCGTTTTTAACATGTATAACTCGTTTAGTAAGGTAGACTTAAGCCAGTCATATACATTACTGCATACCATATATGTTCATATTCATATAGGGTTCAACAATATCTTTTTTAACCTTTTCGCGAAGGTATGCTTTCTTTTTTACTTAAAACTTTGGTGACTGATTTTACAGTTCGATTATTACATTCGGACTCCGAAGGTGTATGAATCGTATCTATACTACGAGAAGACATTGAAATCGATCGACGATCTTGTCGCCTTGTTAGCATAATACAAAAAGATGCATCTGCCGGAAGAGTTCTTCTGATACTTGCGTTACGATAAGTAGCAGATTGTAACGACTGAAACGGAAAAGATCTTAGTAGAAACTGAGAAATCCATAATTTTTTTTTTCCAGAGCAGCATATGAAGTACGTATTATAGTGGAGAAAGTGGGTTGCTTTGAAGAAAATTTCTAGCATTTTCACATGAATATTGATTGTTAGAATTAAAGACAATTACAGGCAAATTGATAGAACTTGAAGACATAATGACTTTGTTGTTAAAAGTTTCCGAGTCCTATTATATACTTGTCTAGTAATAATAGTTGATACAATTTCTCTCAAGAAAACTGTTGTAGTAGAAGGGTGACAAAAAATGCAATTCACTCTCTCGTACTTAAGTCTGTATTGCGAAGTAGATGGCTAAAAATGGTCAAAGTTGCCTACTTGTAGAATATGTATTAATGGAGTCTGAGAGTCTTAGTTCTTAGAGTCCCATTCTATGTGGGCTCTCACTCGATTAAGATTCTTTATGTCGACAACTTTAGATGTCACATATAAACATCGTGTTTGATAGCGAGAACTACATTACAAAAGATAACATTACGCGTCCAAGTACTCGATATAAAATTACACATCAGATAGAGGTAGAGGCAACAACAGTATATCCATTTGAGTGTCATCAGAGTCTACATAATGCTATGGCTGACAGAATGATAAGCAGAATAAAAATAAGTGCTGCACCAAATGAGCCAATAAGAGAACCAGAAATTCGCTCACAGAAGTTTTGGAATTGTTGGCAAATAGCAGACCAGTTAGCTGATGCATTCCCATTATGTGCCAAATACACAATTGCTGCTGCTGCTGAGGCTACAGCAGTGACTGCAGCCAGCATTATCTGCACCATTTTTGAGGTTTAGCATGTTAGTTTTAGGGTTGCTAGAAATCCGTTTAACAGTTTTTATGAATCTTTTTTCACCACTCTTTCGATTCCTTGTGAACTCTACTCAAGATCCAAAGAAACTATAACTGTCCTGTCATAGTCTTGGTTTACTTCCCCTCTTCTAATTTGTTTGTTTGAGATGAAAGGACTCTCACGAATAGGGTATAAATATCAAGGACTCCTGTCCACTTTGATTGCATGATAAATCGACTCTCTAAGAGCTCAAGTTGGTAAATAGGTGACAAATCAAATACAATTATCTGTATTCCTATTTATATCCAACTGTTTCGAGCAGAGGAATGAAGAATCTCTTTATGAAACAGATCTATTGTAAGATTAGGCGGAAGGTGAAGGCTTATTTCCAATGCTCTCCATCTGGCAATCTTAATGTTGCCCAAATCGTATATTGTTTCATAGGTCTATGGCTGAACCAAAGTCTCAAAGCATCTGATTAATGCGATTGAGTTTATATAAGTGAGATGGGAAGAATAGATCTCTTACCGAGTCCAAAAAGATTAGCACTGCTCTAGTCTTTGCTGCTCTGCTCCTGAAAATATGAAAGGTGGAAATGGCTAGAGACAAGACTAGATATCCACATACTGTTGCATTTACAATCACGAAAACCCTTTGCAATTGAAGGAGAAAAAGGGGTCAATTCCTTACAATAAATGGCTTGAAATTATTAATATTAACCAATGTTTTAAGAAAGTTTAAACATCAAATGGTTGACAAGGATAAAAACGAGGTCCAATGAAAGGTAAATAAAAAATAAAACATGCATCCAGGAGATTCAGAGAACTTGTGGCTGGTTCATCCAGTTCGAGGTTGAACCCTTCGGTTGTCTAACAATAGTTTTTAGGCTATAACCAGACCAGGTTTCGCGCTCCTGGTTGAACCAGCCGCAATCAAAACACTAATTAAACAACATAATACGAGTAATTAACTAACCTGAAGGTCGGAATGTCATCGTACTGAGCCTTGAATTGTATGAACTGAGTGATGAAAGGAAGAGTTTCATCCGTTGTTGCCATTGCCACAGCACTTGCCAATGTTCCAAAAATGGCCATAATTCTGAGAATAAGGTCTATTATGGCAATCGCCCTGTTCCCTCCTGGTACTTTTGTTACTTCACCACCTTCAACCGCACCTCCAGCCTTCATTTTTCACTGCTTAATTCAGTGATTTCTCAGCTGTAATTATAATTCAACTGTTCTTAACTGTCCAAGGCGACAGGATATTTTATACAAATTAACTTACATAAGCATGTTTGTATTTTCCTATGTCATTCACCAATCAGAAAATACCAATGTGGAATTAGGTTTTGCTGACATGAAACAATATACTTTTGATTCCCTCAGCAACCCAAAAGGTAAAAACATGTCTTTCTAGATTTCTACCTGCTCTACTTATCCGGGCAAGCCGTGATGATGCAAGTATAAATAAATTATCCCCCTCTTGTTTTTCCTTGTTCAAGCTAATAGAGGAGGTTATTTGACTGAGCACTAGAGCAAAGAAAGATTTCGTGCTCGTAAATTACTGACACTCATTTATAAAAATTTCATTCAGCTCTGAAAACATGAATTTGACATGCCAGTGGCTACTTTCAAATACTAGAGTAATAGATATCGAATTCGTTAATAATAAAAGTTCAGTTTGAGGAAGCATAAAACCACCTTAAAATCCCCATTGCATAAGGTGCATGATCTAGTTAACATGCAAAATTAACAAATTACAAGAAAAAAAATGTTCAGTTATGTTAATTTTCTTATTTTTTTTTTTTTTTTTTTTTTTTTTTTTTTTTTTTTTTTTTTTTTTTTTTTACGAGCATTAAGGTTTAAGCAACTTTTTAATTTCTATAGTGTTCAGTTATGTTAATTTTCTTATTTTCAAGTAAAGAAAAACAACTTATTTGAAAATCAGTTCGACCAATAAACAAATCATCTATTTTAAACTTATATATTTACTAATAAGATAAAACCTTTTATGCATAGCCAACAGAAACAAGTGGTCAATGGGAGGACTATGAACAATGTTAATCAATCAAAGTTCCAGATGTTGATACAAAAGCTCTGCTTCATTTACTTGATAAATAGCACCAATTTAAAAAGTATATGGTTGTTCTACCTAGCATAAAGGCATAGTATATAGCAACCTAATATGAAATCAAGTATATAAATCACTTCGTTCAACATATTTTATTTTATTCTTTGGCAAAATCCATCTTACTATCGTTTGTCTCCAAAGCAAAGCAGGAAACCCATGATGATCAGAAGCAATAAGTATAATGCATCTCTCTCTCTCTCAGAAATCAGTTTGTTCTCTTAAATGATCTCTTTTAATCAAATTAAAGAACTATGAAAAGGAGACAAAAGACAGCTCACCTTCACTAATGGTTCATGGCCGATGAGAATCTTACAACCTCATATCCCATTCAATTCATTTGATAGAAATGCTTACCTTACTGTAAATGCTAAAAGAAATGAATTATCTGTCAATCCTGCCAAATAAAAATCATATAAACATGTCAGATTGAGCAATGATGCACCTCACTTAAAAACAAGCAAGCGTAATATTAAATCACAAATATCCTTGAACATACTGAATTATACCTCTCTGAATGCAGATAAAATCAATGAATCCCAAGAACAAGTTGGGGCTAATCAACAAATTACAGAAGTGAATTTATAGGCTTCTGACCTGAAAAGATTACGTGTAGTGTGCAAATGTTATTAATGATGGGTAAACATTACTAAAATGTGAAGTGATATCAGAAGCATAGGAGAATGCTTAAAGCACTTTCACAATGCTTGCAAACTCCATAGAGGAAAAATTTACATGAGAACCAAAATGTTGCATTTGGAGTAAGATAGCATTATATAAGCAGGTAAGCATATTATAACAAACAAAGAGAGCTCATATATTGAGAAGCCTGCATACTGAAACATGTCGTGAATAGAAACATAGATATCATGGGAAGACATATCTTTACAGCTGGGGTGAAACAAAATGAGCAAACGATACTAGTCACTGTGTCCAAAAGTTTTACAAATATGCAACAATTCACTGGAATTGAACTTCTACAAGCTGCATCACTTCATGAAAGTAGAAAACTTTAGGCTAGTACAAGACCATAATCAACATAACAGCTCTCATTACAAGACACCAATTGTGATATCAAAAGAAAGAAAGAAATTTAAGGGCAAAAATAGATCAGATTTTCTCATGTCTCGTTGAGCAGGTCTTCCGTCTTCTGGTCCTGGGCTGAAGGCATCATTAAAAAGGCAATCGGCTAGCTTCAGGCATCACACACCATATCTGTATTAATGGAACTGTGAAAGGGAAGGGGGGGAAAAGGACTATTAGAAACAAATATATGCTTTAGGCTACTTAAAAAGAAGAGGGTAAACATGCAGCACAAAGAGGATGGGCTTGTATATTATAATATTAAGATTGAACAAGGAAAAAGGAATCGAGGTATCACCTCCATGCCTTGACAGCCAGAAACTCTAGTAACCATAAGATTTTTCAGATGAAACTGGATTCTGCCTAGATAACCTGGTAAGAGTGGTCACAAACTATGAGCTTGGATGAAATAACTAGATCTAACCAAACCTTTCAAGCAAGATTGATAGTTGAAGAAAACAATAAAAGATTATATATGTTGACAGTGAGAAGGGGAGAGGACAAATTTTAGGAGGGCCAAAAGTTTACCCAGAACCACCAGAATGACCAGATGAATAAACACCATATGCTCCATAACCACTTTCACCGACAATCTAGAGCATTGAACATGGATCAGGTTGGGGACAACAGGTGAAAGTTTGTGTGGCAATTAAATAGATGCTAAAGAAAACATTTGGTGTACCAGTTCCATACTAGAAATGTATGTTTTTAAAAAGGATCATCACATTATCAATTATTATAACATTAATGTGGTTCCAATAATGAGAATCAGAAAGCATTCAATCTTACTAAACAAATTGGTAGACGATACCTGTGAAGCATCATAACTCCCATAACTTTCATCTGGTGGCAAATTTTTGGGGTCATAACCACCTGAGTAGTTTGAATATCCATGATTTCTTGATTTATTATCACGAATCGTATATTTCGGGCCATCAGACATGTCTGGTGATGCTTGAGGATATGGAGCAGGTGTAGGAAATCCAGATGAAGTTCCCTGAGTCTCAAATACATTTGCCCTCAAGCGTATCAATACTTGTAGTAAGGCAGCTCTAGCCGCATTCGGGTCTCCAGTAATCTGGTCAGCATCATATGTATGAATGAGAATGAAAATGTGACAACTACAAACATTCTAACATCTTTTCAAATGTGACAACTATATGAATGAGAATGAAAATGTAGAGACAAGACAAGCAAACAGGGAGACAGGTAAAACAGGATGGCATATAGATGGACAGACCGCCCTGCACATGTGCACAAAAACAAAGTCATCAACCTGGACCATCTCATCGTCTTCAGATGCAACTTTGGGAACATGTTCGTCAGAAAGAATCCGGATATTAGCTCGTGTAGTATTTCTCATCTCTTTCACGATAGCCCCACCTTTACCAATAAGACATCCAATTCTAGAGCTTGGTACAAGAAGACGAGTGGTGAGAACAGGATCACCTGACTCTCTCTCTATTCTCTCACTGCACCGTGGTTGCAACCGCATTGTTGCATCGATAGTCCGCGAAGGAGCATCAAATTTCTGAGATATAAAATCTTAGGTCAACACAAACATCCTGTCTTGGTTATTCTTAATTATGATTGGTAAAAACTACACAAAATCATGCTCACCTCCTTTGCTGATATGGATATAACACAATCATCTCCTTCAGCACCAGAGCTATCAACTTTAATGAATGCCCCTGATTCCTGTCTTATTTGTTTAATAATAACACCGCCTTTTCCAATCACAGCTCCTATATTTTCAGTTGGACAAATCAAACGAAGTGAGAACTCCTTCGCAGTATAAGAACTCACATAAGGACCCATTGACAAAGTCATGCCCATAAGAGGGCCACCAACATTTGGATTGTTGAATGCTATTCCAGATCTATAAATGCTGGATGTCGACAAGAGCAAATGCTGTGACCTTGAGGGGTTATCATGAAGACAAGATGAAACTTGGTATAGAGCTTTCTTCACTACAGTAGCTTCCCCGGTTATCTGAGAATTGAACATGTACTAACTGTAAAAATCATCACTGATATCTTCCAACCACTCTTCACACAAAACAATAAAAAGCAACATCAGAAAACCCCAAGCATACTTTTCATTTTCATAGCACAAATAAGAGGAGATTAATGTAATATCATTCACAGGAGAAATTTCACCATCATCTTATGAAACCCAAACTAACCATCTTTAGACATCATGAAATTTTTTATAGATTCTCTTTATATTTTTAAGACAAGCTACTGCAAAACAAACCATCTTATTAATTCTAAAAGGTTTGAAACTATCCTGCATGCTTTCTCTCAAGATCCCACCAGATAAACCATAATACTGAAAATACAATTCTTAACATCCATTTCAAAAAAAAATAAAAAAAAATAGAATTATTGTGAGCAACAAGTAAATTAATATAGTGGGTGGAAAATGAGTGAAAGAAAATAAGAATACCAGTTACAAAGGGTTCACTACCTGGATAAGTTCATCAGAACTCAGAGCACAAGGTGGCAAATGTTCACTACCCAAAATTCTGATCTGAGTACCAGTTTCACTGCGTATGTTCTGAATTATTTGTCCTCCTTTCCCAATCACACAACCTATCTGATCAGAAGGCACAAGCAAACGCAAAGTGACGTGCAGAGGCTCCTCAAATGCACCATTCACAGGCGACTCCTCAGTGACCACCAAGTCGTGCACCCGAAAAAGGGCATCTTGTGCTGGTGAAACTAGGTCCTCCCCATAACTATTTGTTTCATCAGTTGTGCTATAAATGGTGACTACACGTTCATCACACCCTGGGATAGTCTCACTAATCCTAATCCTTGCATGGGTTTCTGCTCTCAATTGCTTCGCAATATCCCCACCAATTCCAATAATGCTCCCAATTTTTCTCAATGGACACAAATAACGGTAAACTGTATCATCTGGTCCAATGCCATTTGGTTCTTTTTCATCATTTTGGTTCCTTCTTTTCATCCCTTCATTTCCAGAATAATCTGATACAGTGTGCAATCTTTTCTCATGATCAATCCTCTGGTCCATTGATCAACAAGACTAAATTAACCTAATCCCACCATTAAAAAAAAAAAAAATTGTCAATCAGCACTCTATTTTACAGCGTAAACATAAATAAAATCACATCAAATGCAAAATGCAGTACCAATGTGTTCTCATGTGAAACGAAAAACCACCAAAAATTCATGATTTTTATCCACCTCAATGCAGCTAAATCTAAAAGATTCAGTTTTTCTAACCAGAAAGTGTTAATATTTCAATTTTAAACGGAACCCATTAAAGTGAAGCTGCTAAATTCAGTAAATGATCTTGAAACAGATTGATCAACAAGACTAAATAAACCTAATCCCACCATTAGAAAATAAAAAATAAAAATCTCAATCAGCATTCTATTGTAAAGCGTAAAAATAACAAAAATCAAAACAAATGCAAAATGCAGTACCGATGTGTTCTCATGTGCAACGCAAAACCACCAAAAATTCACAAATTTTATCCCACCTCGATGTAGCCAAATCTAAAAGATTCAGTTTTTCAAACCAGAAAGTGTTAAAATTTCAATTTTAAAAGGAACCCATTAAAGTAAAGCTGCTAAATTGAGTAAATGATCTTGAAACAGAGTGAACAGTTGCCAAAAAAATTAACAGATCAAAATTCCCAACTAGAAATTATAACATTGAATTCATTATACAATCTCAAAAGGCATGGTTCTAAACATTTGAAAATAACGTTAACGACGAAGATGAAGCGTGGAAAATTAGAGTTAAGAATTACGGTAAATACTTTAGAGAGAGTGTGTGACCTCGCCGTGAAATTCTTCGGAGGCGCAATAGGTGACTGCGTTTCTTGTTTGTGCTTGCATCTGAGGTCCGAGGTATAACCGCTTCTGAAACTATTTTGGGACGAGTTTTTAATTTTTGTTTAAAAAAATATCTTTGGCCCTGTGGATTTTTAGGGTTAAATTTGACAAAAATATCCAATCCCCATATTATCCTTCTTTCTCCTCTTCATTATTTTATTTTATTTTTTCTCCTTTTTTTAATTTCTTTTTATAAATTAGTTCAAGTGACAAGAAACACTTACTAGCGTCAAATATGAACCTTGAGAAAATTCTAATAGAATAGATTTGGAACATTTTCTCGTCCGATATAATAGGTTTCGACGACTTACATCTGATCATTTGATATGCTCATAATACCTACAAACAGAAGCATTGTATTAGCTCTTGTTGGCTCTGCATCTAGTCGTGTGTGGTATGTTGGTGATTCATATTAATAATATTCATTATATAATACACCTTTCGTCCCATAAAAATAAGTTTAATTTCCTTTTTTGTCATTCCAAATTATAGTCAACTTTCCTTGTTGAGAGTATAGTTAGTTATTAAAATTTCAAATATGTTTTTATTTAATGCACTTTGTTATCAATAAATATGAACTATTCTTATTTAAATCAGTATTTAATATAGGGTTATATTAGAAAAATTGGAAGAAAAATTTATCTTTCTAACTATATTAATTATATTTTTTAATATGTGTGAAAATGGAAACAAATCTACATTTGTGAGATGGAAGGAGTATCATTTCCCATTTCGGGTTGGACTATTCCTTTAATTCTTTGAGATTCAATTTTATATTTGATGTCAAGTTTTACCAAATGTCTTCCTAGTCATTGTAACACTATGCATAAATGAAAAGTTGACTTGTAAACAATGTCCTTATCATGATTACGATTTCTCATCAAGATAAAATAAAATCGCACTCTACTTCTTCACTTATATATTTTTATTACCTCAAAATAATGTGGATCCCATCAAAGAAGACAAATAGGACAACAAATAATAAAACAATAATATTTTCCAAAAATTTAATAACTCTCATATCTTAACATAAATTTCTCATTTTATCCTTCTCTCTTGTGTCATACTTTATATGATTATATTTGCTTTCTTATTTTTTTTTAATAAAGTTTAATTCAGAAAAAAAAATTATTTAAATTTTAACAAGATTATTTTTTAATCCTTTTCTATAATAGTTATTTAATATTAGTCATATTTTTATGAATGTTGATTTCCAATTAATAGACAAACTAAAATTGAAGTAATATATTAATAAAAAATGAACTAAAAAAATCCAAGATTTAAACATATGATGCAAAAGATTGCATTTTTAATATTATGATATCATAAGTTTCTAAACTTAGTGTATAATTGTAAAGAGTATAAAATATAAAAATTAGAGAAAATAATAATAAATAAGCAATATAAAGCATTTATAATGAAATTTCAACTAGCTATATTAAATATAATAATAACAATTTTAGAATATAATAGAGAGATAAAAATATATAATTATCTATAAGTGACTAAAGAGAATCTGTTATAAAATGTAAATCTCCACGAATTGAACAAAAATGAAAGTCTATAGCAAGAGACGAAAACCGAAGTGCAAAAAGATAACAATTCTATCCACAAACAATTCCACTCACTCAATAATTTCGAACTTCCGCCACATATCATGATAGGGCATCAAGTAGGACGTTTTGCAAGTTTCCTAGTAAATGAATCATAAATTATCACAATTTGGGTTAACTTATCCACTTCCTCCACTTGCATCGTAAAATAGTACCAATATTACTTTTTCTTCTTTTACTAAAAGTGATGAAATGAGTGAAAAGATGATAATATTGCATGGATTGTGACTCGATTATGAGTCCGTTTGGCATGACTTTTGAAAAGTCAAAAGAGGTTTTTGAGACCCAAAAATTGCTTTTGAATCTGTTTGGCTAATTTTGTTAAAGTGATTTTGGTAATTAGAAAAGCTTTTAGAGGGAAATGATTTTAGAGAGAGTTGATTCAATGTAATTTCCTTTAAAAGCACTTCCGAAATGACAAGTGTTTTTAAATATTAGTTTTCAAACAAAAATTAAGGTAGTTTCTTTCAAAAGTCATTCTACAATAAGCAAAACCAAAGGCTATGCCAAACGGAGCCATAACAAAAATAGCCTACTTCATACCGTCCCACAGTCGAGTCAAGCCAACCAACTTAAAACTTATTATTTCTATTGGTAGATCATCTCCAAGTTTTTGTTATTCCAGTGCAACATACACGTAACACAAAAAAGTTTGAAACAACTTAACTGAGGCACACATTGTCAACACTTGAACTAGAAATAAAAGAACACTGAACTCTATCCTTTAAGAAATAGTTTTTAGATATGATCTAATGTTTTTGCAACAATTAGCTTTTATAGGCAATAAATACTATTTTTAGGTATTTTGATACCAGATAAATCTGGTGCGATGATTTTTTTAAATCAGATTAAGACTATATGGTTCATTTGGAACCTATTCTTGAGACTACTTAATATAATCGACCCAACAACAGACGACTAGTAACTCACAAAAGAAGTTAGATTAAGCAATGCATTTAGGGTCCAACCCATATACTAGACCTAAGTTGTATTGTATATATTTTTGCATTTTTTCCTAATTATACAATACAAACACACGGTTTGTCCTTAGCCCCCCTTTTTGTTAGAACTCTTCGGCTTCTCTTTTTCACCATGAACTTGTTGCCTCCCTTCATAAGTTCTCTTTGTGAGACCTCACGCTTTACCTTTGTGAGCACCTTGGCCGACAACTTGGCTACTTGGTTTGGCCTTCTGCACCATCGATTTTTCCCTGTTGTATCGTCGTCGTGCTGTCTCTGTTTGCGATTGTCTTTGCGTGATTCCTTGGGTGGTTTCCTTTGTAGTTTTGAGGATGGTTCTTGGTTCCTTATTGTAAAGCTTCTTTGCGTGTTATTAGTTATTGATTTGAGCCTATTCAATCCATTTTTTGTGCTAATATAAAGCTATTATTTTTTTGGTGCAAATATAAATGTTTCTGATGAATATAAAGCTATTATATTTTTAATATTATTCCTTATAATTATAAGAATGTTAAGAAGGTAATCAAATATGGAAGGAGACCCTCAAAGGCCGAGGAGAGAGAAATGAAAGTTGAAAGAAACGAGAGAAAAACAGGAGAGATTCACCAAATGAGAGGTAGAATTCAGTTTAGGGATAGAAATGAGCAAAACAATGGTAGCAAGAAAAGTTGAGAGGTAAATCTAAGTCGTAGGGGAAGACTAAGAGGAGGAAATGTTACGGTTGTGGAAAATTAGAACAATTCATAAACAACTGACGAAAAGAAAAGAACAAATTGAGAGATAAGAAGGGTGGTGAATGTAATCTGACAAATGTTGTTGACCAGAGAGATGAACCTAGTGAGGTATTCATACTCCTAGATACTGAACCAACTGAAATAAATGTCTATGAAATCCCATATGCATGAGTGAATACTTGACTTCGATACTTCTTTTCATGTTACATCAAATAAATTGTAGTTTGATAATTTGCATGAGTCTGATTATCAACATATAGTTGTATAGGATGGAGTCGCATATAAGATCTCTAGTGTGGATAGTGTTACTATCATATTTGACAGTGATTTTGTGAGGTATATTCCTTATATTGGTAGGAATCTAATTTATGTGGGAAAGTTGGAACGTACCGGTTTCACTGATGCACTCGATGATGGAGTGTCAAAAATGTTTAAGGGAGCACTTAGCTCCTTTAAGGCTACTAGGAACAATGGCATTTACTAACACATGTTGAAGATATGGATAGTTTAAATTCCACTATCACCGACACTGATCACATATAGAAGTGGCACAATAGATTAGCTCACGTTAGTGTTAAGTGACTTAAGTTTCTTAACGATAAGGACGTGTCTGGTAAGGATCAGGTGTCTAACATGCCATTTAGCGATCATTGTTTGTTCGGTAAACATGGTAAGATGTCATTTGCATCTAACACACACACAAGATATCTAGATTGTTAGAATACATTCATACTAATTTGTGGTTTTCGGAAAGCAATCCCACTTTTGGTGGTAACAAATATTTTCTATCAATATTGTTGATGATTTCTCTAGACGTGCGTGGGTTTATTTGCTGAAAGATAAATCTAAAACTTTTGTGAAGTTTAAAAAATTGAAAAGATAAGGTGGAGAACTAGACGGGTAAGAAAGTGAAATATTTGCATACTGATAATAGTCTCGAGTTTTGCAATGCTGAATTTCATAATTTGTGTAATTAAACTAGCATCACTAGAAATGGGATTGTGCCTTACACTCTCTAGCAAAATAAGGTCGCTAAAATAATGAATCGTACTTTACTTGATAAAGTTAGATGTATGATGTTAGTTTGTGGTGTACCTAAGTCCTTTTGGGTAAAGTTGTTATGATTGCATGTTATCTGACTAATATGACTCCTTCTACTACTTTAAATAATGATGCTCCGTACGAGATTTGGTATTGTAAATGTCCCCAATTATTTATGCTTAGGACCTTTGGCCTTGCTACATTCTCTCATCAAAGTGAAGGAAAACTAGAACCTAGAACTAAGGAGTGTTTTTTCTTAGGCTCTCCTAAGGGAGTTAAATAATATAAGTTATGGGATAGAAGTTAGAAGGACATGAGAATAATCATAAGTCACGATATCACATTTAATAAGTCTGAAATGCTTTGCAAAAAGAATGAGGAAGAAACCCTTTTGAGGTGGAGTGTGTGAGTATCCATATCCCCATTATGTCAAATGAGGTGGAAAGTAATACACAAAAATCAGTAGAACATAGAGTTAAAAGATGAAAAGAAAATTGTTGAGAACAACCCTATCGATCGAAACCCTCTAGCTGATTATCAATTAGCTAGAGAAAGAGACAAGAGACCACATAGGGAACCCTAAAAGATGTCTAATTATACCATAACCTATACCGGTTATCAAGAACTAGTTGATATGAGCCTAATACCTATGATGAGACTCTAAGGAGTGAAAAAGTAAGTGAAGAGTGGTTAGGTGCCATAAGAGAATAGCT